GAGCTGGTCAGAAATTCTCAGTTGAATTAGTGGTCTGCACCCTTGAGCACATTGCCTTACTTGCTAGGCCCCACTAATTGCGAGGATTTCCTTCACATCGTTGCCTGCCACGCTACGCTGAGACTGATATGTTTCATGGATTAACCAAAGACATGGCGAGTAAAGGTAACTTCATGCGGCCTGGCGGGCACACGGCTCGTGCCTTCAAGCTGCCCCGGGTCAGGTGTCCTGACACTATACCCGGGCTAAGGTTGCAATCTAAAATGGCTTGTTAACTGTTTCAACGCATGCGTCTGAAGTTACTATATTTACATACGATTTCATGTTGTGGAAAAGACGCCGTAAGAGGTAAGCTTTCTGGTATAAGGGGTAAACTTTCTGGCACAAGTGCAGGTATTTTACACAGAGACTCGCTTCTGAATTCTTACTTGTAGGTATCGTGTTATCACTGGCAAATGTGAAATGAAAAAAAAGTTTTGAACTACTATAATGTTACAGTATTGTTTAAGTGGTGTCCTGACGATTAGATAATGTTGCAGCAATGAACCCTTGGAGACAACTTTTTATCGTCTCTACAGTTTGCTGTTTCACTATGTATCTGGGACCTTATATGAGAGAAAAGTGGATGCTTTGATCTGTATGTTCAAATTTTGGCCAGATAACAATATTTGACCTTCATACATTTTGTCTCTTTATTGTAGACAATAAAGACATGGCCCCTCTGACGTCACCCATGGGCGACCCCGTCAAGGACTCGGACAACCCTAACCAGGCTGGGGTGGGCCTAGCGAGTGCCAAGTCCGACCCGCACGATGCCTCGACCGGCAGCCCCCGGGACAAGGCCTCCGAGGAGAACAACAACAACAAGGGGGACGACAGCAAGGACGGAGAGGGTTCCAAGGGGGACGACGCCTCCAAGAGGAAGAAGCGTCGCAACCGGACCACCTTCACCAGCTTCCAGCTGGAGGAGATGGAGCGGGTCTTCCAGAAGACTCACTACCCGGACGTGTATTGTCGCGAGCAGTTGGCCCTGCGGTGTGATCTCACCGAGGCGCGCGTGCAGGTGAGTTGTCATCATTTTTTGCAAGTGTCCCACCAAACACGTGGCATTTTGTCTGCTGCCACCAAGAGGCAGGGTTTTACACATAAGTCCAACCTTACACCGCTCCGAAATAGCATTGATAATAAAAGAATGGTCTTATGATTAATCGTTGGTTACCACCGATGGTGAAGTATTTTTTACTGCGCGTATTATGGTTGTGCAACTGATTTTGTTTGGCTCCCATAGCATCTGAATGCAATCGGCAAAGAAACAACAGTCATGTGCATGCCACATTGCCAATTTATATTTTTTAGATACTTCTTTCTGCTTGGCTTTGTTGGTAGTATTAAGACTTATGGGATGTTGTGTGAACAGTGCTGAATCAAAAAAATGTATGGGAGGTGATATTTGGCCGCCCTGTGTTGGCACGCTTTAAAATAAAACTTTGTAAGTTCCTATAAACAAGACAAACAGGTGACGTCTCGAACGATGTCTCTGTCCCATTGTACAAACCTCTGAACTTCGTAAACACCCACCTCAACCAATCAGTCTCTTCCGCAATTTGTAACGCTATCCCGGCCTGTTCCCCTCCCCTGCGACAAACAACTACACCCCTCGTGTTATCTCAACGTTAGCACCAGGCGCGCATCCCCTGCCGGTTTGCGCGCTCTGATGCCGGATCTCTGCCCCGTTACCCGTTGGTGACACCTGGCGGCGAGAAAACAACAAACTCAACTGTCACTTCTCGCCGCCTAAAATGAGACACTGCTCCCCACGGTGTTCACTATTCAGGCATTATGGGCGCCGTGCCAGCTATCAGAGTTATCATGTGTTGTGGTATCTCCATCCGTGAGGTGTTACGTTCTGAACATTGTGTGGTAGGGGGTATTTGCTTACCTGAGTCCTGTTGACTGTGCCCAAGCCTTGCACGGATATCATCGGTTTATTGACTCTTTGTCTTAGGGCCTCAACAGAGCCCAGCAAATTAGAAGATATATCTGGGTAGCACCTGGACTTTGGTTGTATGCTGACAAAGCAATCTATTTCATCAGAGTAGGTCTACCTCTGCATGGTTTGAGTGACATTTCCAAACAAAAAGCACAGATAAATTTAATTTTTTAAATTCCTTCCTAGCAAGATATGTTTAATGTTAAAGTAAGCATTTAGCTCACTCCAACATTTCTAACACAGAACTTTATTTAAATAAGAATAACGGGGGGAGGGACTAGGAAGGATCGGGGACCGAGTTCTTGATTGTTTGGGCGCTTGTGAAAGTGAGAACCAAATTTGAATATGGTGCTTTCATCTAGTCGGAGTGCAACTTTAAAGCCACTGCATAGATGTGGCAAACGTGCGGCGAGCCTTTCCGGCTCCCCGAAGAAGCTCCAGTTTCCCACGTGTCGAATACCCGAGTGGTCCAGGGAAAACCAATTTCAAGGGTGTGCAAAAAGGTTAAATGAAGGACAATTCACCCAGGTCGGCAAAGTTTGTGCCGTGCCGCCCGTAAAACAAAGCGCAGCTCTGCGACCGGGGCGGACGAGCGGGCCCCGTGTAGCCCCGGGCTACGCACGGCGTGCCTTCGATCACGTCGCATGATACACGAAACAGAACATGCTGTCGTAGTACTCGGAACTACAAGTAGTAGTGCGTAAGTGATCCTCCAACTTCCTTGGTGTTAAAGTTACATTTTTGTTGAAACAGGTTTTCGTGGAGTTGTGCTTGGGTAAGTTTTCCATCGCAATACCGCTGAATAAGAACAACAATGGCAAATTTCAAGCGAGAAAGGAATTGCTGTCAATTAAACGGAGATAACTAGAATGCAAATGTACATGCATGTCTAATTTTTTTTTAAGATTTTCATTGTAAGCAGAAGTTTCGTTAATATGCCACTGTCTTGTCACTAATCATACCGACCACATAATAATAGTGCTACAGCAAATACGGCCATATTCTTGAAATAGGGCCATGTTCTTGATCTGATTATTGGCTGAGGTTAAATACCAAAACAAAGGCTTTAGAAATACACTGAAACAGTTCCATTGGGTTCGAAGAAGCAATTTATTGTTCTTTGTAACAATTTTGTCTACTATGAAGACTTATGACTCACTCTATGTCGAAAAGTTCCACATAAGAATACAATATCATTCAGGCTGTTATTGTGCCCCTAACTGCCACTTTGCATAATCTTGTTTTGCATTTTGTGGAGACTGATCCAAAATCATCTAAATGGATTTATAACAGAGATCAGATTTTCCTTAGTGACCCCTTTTAAAAACCAATCCAATACGTGGACACGCCAAACCTGAAGCGGGGAAAGTGCATGGACCCTTGATTTGCCGGCATGTGGGCCAACGTCAAAATAATAATTACAGCGATCCGGTGGGTCTGCTGGTCGAACCTAGCCAGCTGGGGACAAATTAGACTGGCCATCTAGTCTGTGTGAGTTTCCTTGAAGTTGAGTTGTCCCTTTGTGTAATGGTGAGCCTCTACCTGATCATTCTGGTGGTAAAGTGTGGCCATAATTCCATCATTCATTACTAACGTTGGCACTGTTGTTGCCTTTTGTTGCATTTGCTTCTGTCGATGTTGTGAATGCTAGTATCGTTGATGTCCGTTAAGATGCTTGATATTGTCTATTGCTAGAAGTTTGTATCATTTCTAACAGTTAAAAACGTAGCAGCCATTAAATATGTTTTATATTCAGATACGAAATAATGCACTTATTTGATTTTATTTTTCATCGTGGGCAAAGTAAACGACGGCTGAGAATATTCCGGACTCGAAGTTGATAATGAAGGGATTTCCCCGCCTCTTTTTAGTCGTTCCCCAAATATAGCGTTGTTTACCGAACCTCAGCTTGTTTCAATCGTCCCCTGCCAAATCTTGTCGGTCGTGTTAGCTTGGGGTCAAACTTGACTGGAACAGACAGGCAACCGCGTGCAACAAAGCCTCGCCGCGTGTAGTCAGTGCCCCACACCGCGACAAGCAATGTGGGGGCACAGCCAGGGCTTGACCCCCAGGCTTTTGCACCGTGGGGAGCATGCGTCCGTCTGGTGCATGGGGAGGCCATGTGACCACGATGACAACAAATGACGACGTCAATAGCTACAAATAAAACAAAACAATTTACTGGTTTTTGCTGCAGGAAACTAGAGCACCAAATGAATACATCAGTTTTTATTGCTTTGTAAAAAACGTTACGACTTTTCAATGTTAGGAAATGTACTTATTTACTACGCTTAATGTTGATTCTGTATCGAGGTATTTTAGTTTAGTATCTGCCAGAGTACCTTTGATCTTTACACTTTCAAGTATTAGAATATAAGTTTAATCATACTTATAAAAAGATAAATTGCGCTACAGAGTCTATAGACGAACAAGCACACGTGTATGTGCGTTCAGACTGCATTGCATTCAGCACAAAGAATTTCTAATTAGAAACACTACTTTGCTTATCAGATTGGACTACATTTTGTAGGCATAATGTCGAGGGAATCTACCTTACGTGCGTCATACCACTCACAAGTCATTCTTACTTTAAAAGTTCCGAGACTCAAATAAACATATTGGGTCGAAAATTAGTTCATCTCGGGCGTATTCGATGACACTCTATCAGATATGCAGACATACGTTCTGTATGTCACATTTCCCACATCAAAAACTGAACAATGGGGCTGTTTATATAAAGTCTAATTTGTTTTTTCCGCCGTGTTCACAGTAATGTCTATCCGTTCCGTTTCCGTTCCAAAGCTCACTCGGGATCGTACCTAATTGATGTTTCCGACTACGTTCCTCAATTTCGACGCAGTGATAGTGACATGAATAAGGTTGTAAGTTAGTACCTTTCACTGAGACTCGTTGCTCTCGGCTAGACGTTCACATCTGTTTTTTTCAAATCCACAGAGCTCACATCGGAAAAGAACTCAAAATGCATTTCAAAACGCTCACGACTCTTTCAATCTCGTTTGCCAAATACACAGTTTAAAAGATGCATGTAGTCTTGGTCCTTTCCAAACCTCGTAACAATTCCAAAAAAAAAAAGACATTAGGCCATTTAATTTAATTTTCCGTATTATGGAAAGAAATCAACCAAAATCTGATGGCCCTTAACAATGTTATTAGAGAAAAAACAAATCTGCTCTTCTGATCTCTCTGGTTTACTTTTCCCACCTCTGCACTTTGTCCGCAAATCGCCGGGTGAAGACTGAAGCGAACAGACGGCCCTTTTGCTTGAATGTGTCCTGAGGCGAGTTGTAGGATTCTGGTAGCTTCAGAACACATCTGATTTTAAGTGAGATGGTTATGCGCAAAAAATCGTGTCCCAACAATTGGACATTCACCATCAAATCACTGTCAACCGCTGCGAAGCATTTCCATTTGGGTCCGTTGCGGGAAGCAGCGTTGAAGCCTGGGGCACTGGTCGAGTATTGGCGGCGTAAACATGGCAAGCTCTACGCTAAACGGGGAAAAGACCTGCTAATTTCTTAAGTCCTTCGCCTTGAAGGGTCACCCATGGGATACCGTCCGACATGCAACAGAGATTATCTGAAATAATTGGATTAAAATACAGATCCTTGCGTGAAGCAGGGTTAATAACTTCGATGATGAATTGAAAAAGAGAAGAGGGAGCAGCTGCAATTGCGCAAAACGGAAATATATTTTACACTCAACGCATTTCGTCAATCTTTTTTTCTCACATCCCGAATGCTTTGTCTTTCACTTTCCTTTTTCTTTGGCCTTACGTCCTATGGGTACTTTTGTAAAGCTCTCAGACATGCTGTAGGCCTACATGTAAATACCATGAGGTTTTCGTCGGTAGGAATCGTCCGTTGTCCATTGTACAACAGAACCTTGGACAGTTTAGACCCAGTAAACTTTTATGAGTCCCCAGCAAACAACTTGAACAACTGGCGGTCAAGTTCGAGGCAGGCTCAGGTTGCGCAGACAAACAGATCATGTCGGTTTTTTTTCTGGGATGATTGCAGCCCGGTTGCTGTAGATCTCCGTCTGCCTACTTCCCT